TGCTGTTTTTCCCCTGTTTACACACAACATTTAAAAAAAGAATGTCTATCTGTTGAGGATTTTCTTTCTCATCCTATTGTCAAACCAACACTATCTCCAAACGTGCACAAATTAGTTTCGTGAAGTAATTCATACGTCGAAAGTACATTTTCTTCCATGAAACATTTATTTAACGATAAAAGAGATCATATGTCGACAGAAATGATTGCAACTAAAAATTCGCTTACACTCATCGTTATCAGGCACTGGAATTTATAATTATTTCTTATCAACGCCAGATCTGCTTAAACTTATTCATTCTAATCAAAAATATACAGTCAAAAGCACAATCACAGAGTTGCCAGCTGGAGTGCCATAATCGACGCAGTTTTCCGCCGTATTGGCATTGATTATGGCGTTTGAGGTGGCAACTCTGCCGGCACAGAGTCAAAAAAGTGTTTTCTCTAGCACTTTGTGGTTTTATTCAATAAAACACAAGAGAAAAACAAACAGAAATGTAAGTCCCGATTTTAGTTGACACGTTTTTTGACTGTATATTTTTGATTAGAATGAATAAGTTTAAGCGGATCTGGCGTTGATAAGAAATAATTATAAAGGACGGGGGTCGATAAGAGGCAAAATCGGCCCCCCTCAGATCAAGCTCATATTCACCAGTCTAATGTAGTTTTTCTCGCTCATTAAAACTAGCATCTCAAAAAACCCATTTTCAGCCCCCCTGGAAAAAATTCCGCATCCAAACTTCTCTCCCCTTTAATGAACTTTATTTAGAATATTTCATCAATTTCTCCTCTTTGCCCAAAGAAAACCTAAACTACTGTACATCGTTCGATAGAGAATTTCGCGGGCTACAAAATGACATATATAATATTGAGAGCAAATGGGGCGCGGGTGTCCTAACACAAGTAATCGAAAATATAAACGAAACTAATTTGTGCACGTTTGGAGATAGTGTTGGTTTGACAATAGGATGAGAAAGAAAATCCTCAACAGATAGACATTCTTTTTTTAAATGTTGTGTGTAAACAGGGGAAAAACAGCAAAAGCAGACAATTCTCAAAATGCGGACAGCGGACAAATTGCGGAAAAAACTCCAAAATGCGGACCATCTGGGAAGTCTGCTCTGAACACCTTCGATCAAACTCTATAAGAAATCGTTATTTTTGAGAAATAGCGCTCCTTAATCGTCGTTCTGACTTGTTGTTTCTTCTTTTTCTGTGAGTCTCATTATCGAAAGAGATATAGAAAAGTCTTTTAAATGCTTTCTGCTTATCCGAAGTTTTTATTCCCTAGCATGCGACTAGATCAGATCGACAGTTGTAGTTCTCTGTCAGAGTAGCGCGTGCGCTTATGAATGTTTTCCTTGCACCCTCCGTGACCATGCAGATCAATACAGTCTTAAATCGTGAGAGAGTCGCTACAAAAGACTCTTTTCTTTTATCAGGTTCAATCGGATTTCAAGATACCACCCACACACCAGAGGATCTGATCTACTCTTATTTCCTTTCCTTCAAGTATAGTGCCTCATTTTCAACAAATCACTATTAATGCCGTGTTATGAAGTAGTCCAAGTTTTTCTTTACGGTTTTGGTACGATGCTTAATGCTACATTGCCATGACAGAAAATTGAATGAAAGAATTTTTATATTGACACATCTAAAAAATAAGTGCGTGTCAGTGTTAGGTCTGGTATACGTTGTTGTGTATAAGTAGTTTATTAAGTTACTGAAGATGATCTCTCTTGCACAAAAACAGCGTATATTTATATTTAAGTTTACACGAAAAGTGGAATATTCTAGAGTTGATAGGGTCGTATACGGCCGTATTTTCACAAGATACAGCCCGTAAACGGTGCCGTTTCTGGGTACAGTAATTCACAGTCGTATACTGTGAAAATACGGCTGTATTTTAATGATGTTACGGTCCGTATTTCTGCGTGCAGTAGACGGTCCGTAACGGATATCCGTTTTGGTCGACCTGGGTATGTATGATACCTATCATACAATTCTCTCTTATGGCATGTCTTTAATATGTGCCATAATAGTCAGCTACATCTTTAACTTAGTTCTTTACTATTTTAGATAAAATACGATTATCGATTTTTACCATTTATATTATTCTTGCGCAATTTTAATTTTTCATTGGTCAGTCATTTCGTTTTCATGTGAGTACTGGTTTTCTTATGTTCGATCAGATGGATTTTGCTTTTTGACAGGATCTTTTCTACCCGCTAGCCTCTATTGAACTCATAAAAACAGGCTCAAATGCATAAATAAGGTTGAAGCGTTAGTAGTTCGAAGAATTGCGTAGTGAAGCAAAGGTGTATCGGTGTATTCTCAAAAATGTTGCGCCATGGAAGCAATGAGATTTCTTCTTTCAATGTCTAGATCATTGTATCAATCCGGCTCGACGATGGTATATGAGCCATTATTTTTCCTTGTATTTGCTTTTGAAGCATACTGTCGAAATAATATCTTTTGATCATAAACTAAATCGAGTAGCTGCCAAGTGAACTTCTGATTTTATAAGGATAATTTCCACGGCAATTGTTTTGAAAGTTTTCCAGGACAATATTTCTTTTGGATTAAATATTCATTGATTTTGTTTAGCTTGTCTAGTGAGCATCACAATTCTATGACTAAAGCAATGGGTGTAGTTCAAGACAAATTTTCACGTGATTCAGATTACCAACGAGGGCTAAATGAAGTTGAACTGGAAAAGTTGAAGAAACTTGCTGAGTTGGAAGCGCAGAAAAATGAGCACACGAATGAATTAGATCGCCAAAAACTTGAAATGGAAAAGAACAAGGCCAAGGCTGAGTTTGAGATGCGTAAGGCAAATTAATACTTTGATTTCAGACCGACATCCGCAGAATTGAGGCTGAATTGTTTCAAACAAGATTGAGAACTCAATCATCTCTATTTGAAAAATTCGTTGACTATATGCGAGCCACACTTGATACAAATACTGCTTTGATTCAGCAACAAGGGCAATTGTATGCTTTAATTGAGAAAACTAGTGATCCTAGCAAATCAAGTTATTTTACGGTCAAAGCGGATAAAATCGAAATCATGCAGCCTAGCAAGTTAATGGCTATTGGTCTTGAAAAAGTTAAGGAATTAAATTTAAAAAGTTCCGAAGAAATAAAATACTTGGAATCCAGATTAGAAGATGTTCTTGGAATTATGGGTCGTAATAATCGTCAATTACTGCTTCATGACAGTTGATAGAGAAAACCCCAACTTGACTAGAATATCAGACATTTTCACTTGTCTCATGTTTTTGACTTTTTTGTGATTCGGTTCTGTTTGATTCTTTTTTCACATGTAACCAAAAAATATAATCAAGAAGACACAATTCAATTTGTCTGTCTAAAGCAAAGCGTAGAAAAAAGCAGACTAAAGAAAGAATGAAAAGATGAGAGCAAGAGAAGAAAAAAAGGAAGAAGCCAACCTGGAAACTGACCTAATCTGTTTAAAAAAGAAATAGAAACAATCTGTCCACTAATCGACAATACATATTCGATACATAAGGGAAAAACCCATATGCGATGACACGATGCTTAATGCTACATTGTCACGACAGAAAATTGAATGAAAGAATTTTTATATTGACATATCTAAAAAATAAGTGCGTGTCAGCTGTATCTTTAATTTAGTTCTTTACTATTTTAGATAAAATACGATTATCGATTTTTACCATTCATATTATTCTTGAGCAATTTTAATTTTTCATTGGTCAGTCATTTCGTTTTCATGTGAGTACTGGTTTTCTTATGTTCGATCAGATGGATTTCGCTTT